TCAGTCTCTGGGCGCACAGTTGAGATAAGGCCTTGGTCTGGTCCTGGTCAGCTCTCAGCACTCACTGCTCCTGATGTTCAAGCAGTGAAGGATCTGGGTTCTGTTCGGAGATCCATCAGACAGGACCTTCAGCGGCAGTTGCCTTTTTTAAGTGGTCAGACACAGAGGGGTCAGGTCTGAAGAATCTGATAGTTTGTTGCCAAAATCCTTCCCCTCTTAAAGGGATTTCATCAGTTTCGGGTCTTTGCAGACCTCCTCTGGTTCTGCTCATTATCAGTTCTGGGGGGTCAGCTGACGTGGGTCCCCACGATGTCTCCTAGCAGTGGTACCTTACCTGCTTGCGTCATGGCTTGACACAGGCCCCTGCTTGACATGAGAGACTCCATTTTGCTCTCTACAGATAGGAAGTGATTTTGCATGGTGAAGTGTCAGTAGCTTGCTCCATTAAATTCTTTCTGTTGTAGGTTATCTTCTATATTCATTCAATCATTCTTTTAATTACCACTTACTACATATCTATTATGGAGCCGTCACTAAGCTAGATAATGTGAGGACTAAAACCCAACTCCTGCCTTCATGAACTATTCAGTGGTGTATTGTGAATGGTTGTATAAAGTGATTTCTGTAAGAATTCAGATACAAAACTTGACTTTCTCTTCCTTTTCCAGAGGATTCTCCCTCTCTGTTTTCTTATTGGCCTAACATAGCCTCTGCACCCATTCTTCATTTCTCCAATGCTTATCTTTTCCTCCATTTAGTCTTTGTCTTATTAGACCATCATTTTGTTGTAGTCCTTTCTTCAACTTCTCTTGCTTTCTTTCTAATTTAGTTCCATCTCAAGGTCCAAGAACTGAAGGGTGATCTGCATAATTAATGACTCTTACCTTGATCCTACGAGGCTCCAGAAGTCAGTTAACAGTGACTCTGACCATGAACATTTATCCAAGTTCCATGAATCTTAGTACAACTTTCTCTCATTAGTTCAGTGAATATCTCCTTGGAATAATTCTCATTCTTCCCTATTCATCAAAGCACTTTTATCATCAGGACATGGGATCATCACGACATTTTAATTCGTGGAAGCTTGAAGCTTAATCCATTAATTTACCTGAATTCTGACTTTAGAACAACATGCTGAGCAAACCCACAGATTCCACAAGATGACTGGAAACTGCTTAATGAACTCTTACTGGCAACTAATGGTTACCACATAATTAGGAAATTAGCATCTGATGTTTCTAAACATTAAAAGCAATATAATAGCAGGACTAGACAAGCATCCTTTGGGTGGCCCTACTCATGCTTACAGAGTTTCTGATATTTTCTCTCAAACCCAGTACTTTGAATTTTGTATAAAAGCAATATAAACAGGGGTGCCTGGGTGGCTCAGTCATTAAGCGTCTGCCTTCGGCTCAGGTCATGATCCCAGGGTCTTGGGATCAAACCCCGCATCGGGCTCCCTGCTCTGCGGGGAGCCTGCTTCTCCCTCTCCCACTCCCCCTGCTTGTGTTCCCTCTCTCGCTGTGTCTCTCTCTGTCAAAAAAAAAAAAATCTTTAAAAAAAAAGCAATATAAACATTTAATAGTCTATAAGTTGACACACTATATAAATGTGTCAATTCCTCAATCGCTATTGCCTGGAAGGAATTTTAGAAATTATAGACAGATTAAAATGTCATACAGAAATTTTTGTTAAGGGATGTCGGTTCATGCGCACAAGTCTATTCAAGTAATAATTAGGATGTTGTTGCTCAGTTTTATTTTTGCAACAATTCATTATCTCACCTAATTTCTGACAATTTATGCCTTAGAACATCTTGTTAGGAAGAAAGAGATAGATGCACATTTTGTTCATGTAACTCTCCCTCATAGTTAAAAAACTAATTGTAGAAGTATTCCTTATTTTATTGATTCCCAAACAACAAAATTAACATTAATTCCCAACCTCTAGAGCTTTCCCCGATGAAATCTGAAACGAGTTCCCATACATGGAGGGCAGGAATTGACCAGGGAAAGAGGCAGGCCACTTCAGATCAGTAGAAGGCAGGTTTAATAAGCAAGGGAACCTACATATGAAGCTTGTCTTGAGCAGCCACAAGATGAGTGGATCTCCATACCTGCCAGAATTTCAAAAGTTTACGTAGAGGCCTTCACTGGCTTCAGTCACAAATGCTATCCAGATGACCTCAACACCTTGCTCTCTCAAGGCTGCCTCCTTGAAACAGCTCCCATTGTGGGAAAGGTGGGCAGAGCATTCATTCCAAGAATAGGGGAGGGCGTGAGGAGCCTCTGACTGCCTGTCAGCCGATAGTCATGTCTTCTTGATTAACTCCTCCAGCTGTTAGGCCATGAAAGAATTAAGTTGCCCCTTTTTTGCACCTTTTATGTAACTGAGGGTATGGAATTGAAGATCTTTATTATATGAAAAGTCTGAAAGCTTGGCTCGTCCACAAAATGGGTAGAGTAGTGAAAGCCAGGTTACTGATTGGCAAGAGAGAGGTTTTGTCAGAAGAGTAGGCGCAGGGGAATTATGTTCTAACAAGTCAGTGGAGCTCAAACAGGGGGAGAGAGTGCCAATCTGGAGGAGACTGAATGAGGGTCATTTTAGGAAGGGAGAAGAGTTGGGTGGGCTGTGACCTCAGGGGAAATTGGCAGGTCTCACGATTGGGGGGCTGTGGACTTCATGGGTTAGAGCAGGGGCCGCATGGACAAGCTGTGGGATTGCCCTGCTCATGAGTGCCCCAGAAGCAGCCCATGCTGGCAGAACAGCCTTGCTTACCTACACGTGACCTTGGATGTAGAGCCAGCTTTGTGTGTCCTCTCGTGGCAGACTCGTGAGGCCTTCCTTTAACAGCTGTCAGCACGCTGCTTGGGAATCATCTGGCAGAGGTGATGCCCTCTCATGTTTCAAGATTCTGCTGAGCTCCTTCCAAACTATTCCATGTGAACACTTCCTTTTCAATGACACGGGACTCCTGACTTTCCCCAGAAATAAAGAGCAAGGCCTTTGGCATCCACATTAATTACGTGGTTATACGAAAGATAAAGCCTGCGGTATCCATATGTAGGGGAGACTGAACAATGATAATTACTCACCTGGTATATTACTGTCCTATTTCTATTGAAACAGATTACCACAAACTGGGTGGCTTACAATGACACAAATTTATTACTTTTTAGTTCTGGAGGTCAGAAGTCTGGAATGGGCCTTATGGGACTTTCTGTAGGGCTGTGTTCCCTCTGGAGGCTTTAGGGAAGAATCCATTCCTTGCCTTTTCCAGCTCCTGGTGGCTGGCCACATTCTTTGGCTCCTGGTCCTGCCTCTGCTTCCAGTGTTATGTCCCCTTTTCTAACTCCCCATCTTCTTCTTTCCCTTCTAAAGACCTTTGTGATTTGTTCTGGGCCTACCTGGAGAATCCAGGATAATCTTCCTGTCTCAAGATCCTTAGGGCAACGGTGTCTGCAAAGTCTCTTTGGCCATATAAGGTACTGTATTCACAGGTTGTGGGGATTAGGACAGGGGCATTTTTGGCCAATCATTGGTCTGCCTGCCATACCTGGTAGGTGCAGTAAACTTATTTTGTCTGTGAGAATACTATGGCTTTGTGGTCAGTTAAATGTTTTTCCAATGTGTGTCATGCATCAACACACTTCTGCCACGGCCATGTGAGGATGCAGCCCTTGACTTAAGTTTTGGCCACATGACTCCCCTTGGACAGTGGGATGGTAATAGATGTGGCTGAGTTTTCCCTCTTGCACCCCTTCCATCACCAAGAGAAGGGCATGCTGCAGGAGGCTGACAGGTCCTAAGACAGCGAGACACATGAAGAACAGACCTGGACCCAAAAACAGTTTGAAGCCAAATCGTGCATAGCTTAGGCCAGATCTGCCTATTGCCAGCTAAACAGCAGACTCATGAGTGAGCAATACATGCTTAGTGTTGTACTGTACTCTGTTTGGGGTGGTTGGTTAAGCAGCAGAAGCAAGCTGGTACAAGTTCACGGATACTGAGTACCTTGCTCAAGGTCACACGATGGTAAGTGATGTAACTATCAGAAAGTTTGACTCCAGAACCTGGGCTCTTATCCACTAAGCAGCTAGTGCCCAACCACTCATTGGATGCCTGAATTTTCTCTATATTATCTCTGCCAAGATCTTACGAAGTCTAGGGGCAAGAGATTCAGAGTCTTTGGCAAGATATGGATTCAAGTCTCACCATCGTATGGGCATTGAACCTACCCAAACTGATCATACCAGGATAGGGAGAAGCCCATCTCATCCACTTCCATGAGTGTAGCTTAAGACTAAATTAATATTTTTGGTGGCCACGTCACAATGGTGTGATGTTGGCTTGTTGACTCGTTCAAACATCTTTTCTCAGTGAAAAGATTCATGAGGTTAAATCTTTCAATCCCATAAAACATCTGTTTTTATTTAATATAATACTCATGCTTTTTTCTGTGTTTATATACAGGACTCTATGTTCAACAAAATTTAATTTTATTGTGTTAGTCCAAGATGTTAATCCTTTTGGACTCTAGTCTTGTAACTAGCTGTGCCTTAGCCCTTTTTCGGGAGTCGATGGAACACAGTTTTGATAATGGCAAATTATCAGCATGGAATGATATTAAGTGAGTAAAAAGAAATAAAAGAAAAAAAATAAAGCATCCCTAATGAAGTAGCGAATGTACTTTAGTAAGTGTTAGAAAGCAATACATTTAAACTAGTGGTCTTTTTTTTTTTTTTAAGATTTATTTATTTATTTATTTTTTCCATTTTTTTTATTATGTTATGTTAATCCCCATACATTACATCATTAGTTTTTGATGTAGTATTCCATGATTCATTGTTTGTGCATAACACCCAGTGCTCCATACAGAATGTGCCCTCCTCAATACCCATCACTGGGCTAACCCATCCCCCCACCCCCCTCCCCTCTAGAACCCTCAGTTTGTTTCTCAGAGTCCATCGTCTCTCATGGTTCGTCTCCCCCTCCAATTTCCCCCCCTTCATTCTTCCCTTCCTGCTATCTTCTTCTTTTTTTTTTTTTTTAACATATAATGTATTATTCGTTTCAGAGGTACAGGTCTGTGAACTAGTGGTCTTTCTCTAACACAGAAGAAGGAGAGAAATGAATGATGTGTAAGTGGTTGTACCACGGACTGTGTCAGCCTCAGAGGGTTCCAGGGGTTTCCCTTTATGAGGTTCTTTAACAATGATCTTTACACATGACCCATAGAGTGCCAGAAACTTGGTTCAAGAAGGGAGTCATTTGTCTCCTAGGGGTCATGGATCCTATTTCCTACAATCTCAGGAAAATAACTGAAATTTCTGGGAAGCACATAGCTTGTAGTCATGCACAAATTTTGTATGTTGGGCCAATTGAATCAATACTCAGTAGTATTGGGCTTCTAGAGTCATGGAACTTCATTCACAATTAAAACTCAGTAGCAGGAGCCTGAAGTCTGAAAATTTGCCTCTTGTGCTTTTAACTATAGTTCTAGGACAGCATAAAGTTATGCACATTTGTCAGGTAAATGAAAGTATTAGGAAATCTCTTAAAGGGTAATACAAATAAACCAACCATCCTTTCCTGAGGTGACCACCTCTCTTTTTAATCATACGAAAAACTAAATCATGGAACCTTGAGACACAACATCATAGAGTCTCTTAATTAGTCACAGCTGTCAGGGCTCCTCCTCTAATTGTGGGATTTTTCTTTTCATGTAGATTTTTTTTTTCTTTTATTATTCCTCTTAGTTTGTGCCTACTTCAGCATCCTCCATGGCCAGTGCTTTCTGCCTCAGTTATTAAGTTGGCTTTCTCAAGAAGTGTTTTTCGTATTTCTGAGATTTCTGGAGATGAATCTGTACCCCTGAAGTGGAGACTTGGTGGTGAGAGCTTATCAGGATTGAAGCAGACCCAAAGCCTGTGCTGGAACTTAGGTAGCTGCCCACTCAGTGTGCACCACAGTCCCTTCCTCTCTCTTTTCCTTCCCTTGTTTCTGTTGGAGGTGTAATGGTGAGGCAGAACCCACCACTCCTGGAAACATCATTTGACTTGATTTTTCCATACCAGATTAAAGGTGACTAATAATTTGCCTCCTATTTCTCAGGGTGGACAGGAAGATCCTATATTAGTCATCATTGGGGCTTCTTTCCCTACCCATTGTGATCTGCAGGATATGCAGGGTTGTGAGAGGCCAGAAAACCTAGAGATGGTGTTGGTCATGGATTCTGGTGCATCTCTCTTCATCTCTGCTCCTTCAGCCCCGTGATGCTTTACTGAGGCTGTAGGAGCTCATGCGGCCCCTCACGTAAGTTCTTTCTCAGGATGCCCAACTTTTACTTTCTCTAATTCTTGTAACTACCCAACTTCATCTTGTTTATGTCCAGGCCCTTGAAAACATAGCTCTATCAATTATTCACAGGGGCAAAAAACCCCCCAAGTTTCTAAGAATCCCCAGTTTCCTTTATGAGAGAAAAAAGAGACAAATACCATAATTCTTTAGTAGTGTCTTAAATGATTTTTGTGTTCTCTTTCCCTCCATGAGGGAGTAAGAACACTATTCTCTGGAGGGAGGTGACCTGGATTCAGATGCAGAGTTTGCTATCTCCTGGGTGGGTTTTCTGGGGAAATTTATTTAACTTTTATAAGCCCTAGTTTTCTCATTGCTGAAGTCAGGATAATGATTGTGATGATTTCCTATGAACTATTGTGTATAAACCATTTTGCACAATGTCTGGCACATTGTAAGTGCTCAATAAATACTGTTATTATTTTTATTGCCCATATTCTTTTTTTTTAAAGTAGAGCCCAACACAGGACTTGAGCTGAGATCAAGAGTTGGATGCTTAACCAACTGAGCCACCCAGGTGCCCCTATTATCCATCTTCTAAACAAACTGTGAATTGTTGGGGAGGAAGACCTTTCTCTGCTCTACAAGGTCCTTCTAGCTGGACTTAGAGAATCAAATTGATGTGAGACAGGTTAACAGGAGAAAATAAAATTTAATAGTGTATATAAGGGAATCCCCACAGACATGGAAATTCCAAGAACAATGAGGCAACATGAAGTTTGCATGAGCTAAGGAGAGGGGTGGGGTCTGAGGTTACAAAGGGGAGAAAGGCCATTAGCAGGAAGGTGAAAGGAGATGTTTCAAAAAACAAAGGTTGCCCTATTTCACAGATAAGAGTCTTAGGTAAAGGGGAGTCTCTGTTAATAACTCTGTTCCTGATACAGGCTCTCCTTGCCAATGTAAATTTAGGCAGTTGAAGACCAGGAAGAGAGCTTTTCCTTATCTAATGGGTTTTGATTACTTTTAACTCAAAATGATGTTCATGCCAAAGTGGCCCATCTTAGAGCAGCCTGTCATTGGCCCCTGTAGAATCAGAGTCATTGCTAAGTACTCTGATAGGTAATGAGACACAAAGACAAATAAAGCATTTCTGTCCTCAGAGGAACTAAATTCTTTCTTATGAGAAGACAAACTCATAGTTACTGTAAAATATTGTAAGTACTCAGAGCTTACTGGGGGACAGAGGCAGGACATCTAAATTCAGTAAATCTTAGGAAGATCTTGTTCCCCTAACATAAGGTCTTTTAAAACCAGGGCTGCATGGGAAGCCCTGGACCACTCCTTAAAAGGCATTATGGTACTGCAAGTTTTGTTGGCTGGACTCATTTCCTTTGGGAAATCTTAGCTGCTGCCTTTAAACTTGGCTTAGCCTCTGCCACACAAACCTGTTTTCCTGAGGTCAGTTCCTCTGTTTGAGATTCTCTCTTGGCTTCGGCCCCTAGCTGGGTCCTTGTTTTGGATTCCGTAGTCTTAACCTCCTGTGAGTACTTGGCCTTGTGTTTGCCAGCCTGGCTCTTGGCTCCATACCTGGGAGCTCAGCCAGCGACCCATGCACCTTGTGTCTGAGCATTCCTGTACAGCACCTGTCATCCTAAAAGCCTGGCCTGCCTCTCCTGGGCAGAGGTGGTCTCTATCTCTTCTTTAATAACAGCCTGGATTGACTTGTTATGCCTTTCAACACTAATCAGGGAGTTATCTGTAAATATATGGATGTGCTCTGTTATAAGCCACAGAGCAGATTACTAGACATGGCTTAAAATACTCAGACATTTATTCGTTTATTGTATCAATTAAGAAGTCCAGAAAAGGCTGGGGTGGTGCTCAGGTTGTTTGGTGGCTTGATAATGTGGTAAACAACCCAGTTCCTCCTGTTCGGCTTTCTCATCCTTAGCTTGTTTGTGAACTTCCCTCATGGATTCAAGATGACTGCCAGTGCTTTAAAGCCAAGCCAGAGTCAAAAACAGAAAAAGAAGCATAGCAAAAAAGAACATTCTATGTAGGTGTGCCTCTTCTCTCAGAAAAAGAAAATTCTGGAAACTTCCTAGAAGTACTGTCTTACATTTCATTAGCTGGAAGAGGGTCTCATGGCCACTGCTTGTTATACCAGGAGGCTGGGAATGTGAATATATGGTGTTGTGTCTCTGGTGGAGGGAGCATGGGGCATGGGTTTGGAAATAACTGTTGGACAAACAAGCAACAGTGCCTGCCACACCATTACTCAAGAACTTTGATAAGATTTAATTTTTATTTTATGCAATTTAAGTCACATTAGATCATGCTACTTGATTTACAAAAGCACTTTAATAGTGATCCTATTTCATAACACTTATTCTGCCTGTCCTTGTTTTTTCCTGTCTTCCCAGGTTCATTTCCTCTTATTTTATCTTGTTTTGTTTTCAGTATTCATTTCTTATGATTTCTGGCTACCATCCATCTTTTCTAAAGCCTAGAGCTTTTTACCTGATGCTATTATTCTAACACTAGAACTTCACAAACCTCAAATGACAATAGGGATGGTAAACAATTTATTACTAAATAACCACAACAGAAGTCTAAGTCTATTAGTTATCTGCCATCATCATAGCAGGGCGCTAATTGTGTCATTTTAAAAAGGTGCCTGCCACATCTGATTTAAGCTGAGCCATCTAACGCACCAAGGAGCATCCCCCAAACACTGCACATTGCTTTATTTTTCCCTTCTGCTTGCCTACATTGAATCAAAAACAAAATGAAATACAGAACACAATGAGTTACAGAGTCGCAGGGATCATTCCCACAGCTTCTTCCTTCGCCGTCCCCCTCCGGCTCCCCCCCCAAGCCAATCACCTCAGGGGCTCTGCAGTCAGTGAGGCGGAACTCATTTCACATTTGAGGAGAACAATGATAGAAAAGCTCTCTGCATGCAGAGCAGGGCAGACTCTCTCAGCAAGCCGTTCAGCAAGGCTGCTCTGCTTGTCCAGATTTTGCTAGTCATAACAAGCTTTTTAAAACAATCATTTCAAAGAATATTATTAGTATTGGTAGTAAGAGCCACCCTTTATTAAATGTCTACCTGCGACAGAAATCCTCTTTGGTACCTTTCTAACAATACTGTTTCTTTAATCCTCCGCACATGTGCAAGCTGAATGTTAACTTATTTTGCATGATAGAAGCTGACAACATCCCAGTAGGATTTAAAGGACAATGAAAAAACATTTGTCCCCACATATTTTGGTCTTTATTTTGATCTGCCGCCTGAAATTCTTTCCATTATTTCCCCCATTTTCCTGCTCCAGCGATCTCTTAGGCTTAGGTTGAAGTCCCTAGGAGCAGAACCTGAGATTAGGTTCTTGTGAAAAGTGATTTATTGAGGGAGAACTCTCAGAAGAAAGGGGTGAAGGAAACAGGCTAGGGCAGGAGAAGAAAGCTCAGCAAGGGAGAGATCTTGGCTGGAGACCAGCTTCAGTCTGGATACTCAGAATACAAATTGCACCATGGATTTATTCCCACCTTGCAGGAAGGGGCTGGCATTTAATATGCCTGTGTCAGTCTGTCCTTGGCCATTGGCTGTCCATGTATGTGTGTCAAGGCGTCATCCATTCTGCTAAGACATTTACCCAGAGAAAGGGGAAGCTGTGAGTTTTTAGCAGCCGATACTCACTATGCTGGGGATGCAAGGGTAATGGGTCAGCTGGCCTTGTGAAAGGAGACTGGGAGCATCCACTACAGTCACCTCTTGCCCAGTTCAGATTTACTTGCTTCTTCCACTAAGTGTATTCCATCCAGGCACAAACTTGCCATAGTGAGTGGGAGAGTTAATGGGATAAGCTATAGCCCCACACTGTGGTTAGTCTGGAAGTGATAGCTGGTATTTATTTTCTCCCTCTTTTTCATCCATTTTAGACCCCCTCTTCCTACCTAGCTAGTACTTCTGCTGGTCTAGGTGCTTTGCTTGGTTGGATGGCCCATATTTTAAGTCCTTGTGGAGTCTGAGCCTCTGATTACTATACCCTTGTCAAGCAATGGTTGCTCTCCTCGACCATTTACATTTAAAACCAATTAAGTACCAAGAGAGGCACTTGGGTACCAGATATATTTTTATCTGCCCCTAACATGTAGCAGCAGTTCTATCTCTTTGAGACGATCAGGGTCAAATCCTTCTGCCAGTACAATAACTCCTTTTTATACTAACTAGATTACTGTCATGGTGAGCCTAGGGTGACTAGATGTCAGCTGTAGCTTTAAGTTTAGTGAGCCTCTCATTGTGTTACTTGGTGGAAGTATTCCCTTCTGGGACCAAGAACTTAAAACTAATAATACCTAAAGTTGTAGGAATTCCCCAGCTGGGTGCCTAGGAGTGATGGTGAGTGGGATCATCCCTACATCTTCCCATTGGTTCCTGGACCCATGAGTTCTAGCTGTTGGCAATATAGCACCATATAATAACCCCTGGCTTAAGGTATAAGGGGCATCCTCGGGCGCCTGGGTGGCTCAGATGGTTAAGCATCTGCCTTTGGCTCAGGTCATGATTCCAGGGTCCTGGGATCGAGTCCCACATCGGGCTCCCCGCTGAGCGGGGAGCCTGCTTCTCCCTCTGACCCTCTCCCCTCTCATGCTGTTTCTCTCTCGCTCACTCTAAAAAATAAATAAAATCTTTAAAAAAAAAAAAAAGGTATAAGGGGCATCCTGAAGAAGGATGCCCCTTTCCCACAGGGTGTCATCTCTAAGCTGATGACAGATGCATCATCTGTACCTTCAAGATGCTACTCTAAAGGTCTATCAGGTGGCAGGTTCTGGACAGTATGGGACAGGGTATGGCATGGTCTTGGTCTTGACCCAGAACCCTAGGGATTGGTGCTGTGTCTTTGCTGTTGAGGCTGGCTAGAGATTCTGACAGAATGCCCGTCTTCACTACAGATACTCTAGGAACATGGAATCTGCTGGGTTGTAGGAACCACACTTCAGTGTTGCTCATATTT